GGGGGTTGGGGAGCTCCCCCCTTTCACGCACAGAGCAGGGCCCATCAGGGGGTTTAGGGAGCTCCCCCCTTTCACTCACAGAGTAGGGCCGATAGGGGAGTTAGGGCACCGCCCCCTGTCACACACAGAGCAGGGCAGATCAGGGGGTTGGGGCGCAGCCACTGTCACACTCAGGCCAGGGCCGATGGGGAGGTTATGGCATCAGGGGGTTGGGTCACGAACAGGGCCTGTGGGGGGGGGGGTTGGGCGCCGCACCCTGTCACACACAGAGCCGCAGGGGCGATCAGGGGGTTTGGGCGTTGCCCTGTCATGCTGATCTGGTGCCAGGAGGCTCGCGGCTCCGCTGATCCCGGTGCTGGGAGGCATATTACCCTTTTACTATATAGGATAGAGGCCTGGGGGCCGGCTGGTTTGCCCTGAAGGGTGTCCTGGATCAGGGTGGGGGTCCCCACTGGGGTGCCTGGCCAGCCTGGATGAGGGGATGATGGCTGTTTGTAGCTGGTCACACACCCTTCAGGGTGGGGGTCCCCACTGGGGTGCCTGGCCAGTCTGGGTGAGGGGCTGAGGGCTGCTTTCAGGCTGGTGGTTGTTGACTGAAGCTCCCAACCACTCCTTTTTTTCTCTTTTTTTAAATTTTATTCTGGGCCAGCTTTAGCTCTGGCTCTAGCTCTGAGGCTTCTGCTGCTGAGCATTCTATAATCGAAACAATGTATAACTCCAGCTCTGAGATCCCGGCCTTCTATATTTGTTAGAATGTTTCAAACTGCCAGCTCAGAGGCCGGCAACTCAGGCAGGGAACATTGGAGTCTGCATTCACTGGAGCAAGCAAGCCTCATGTTCGCTTCCAGCTGCCTGGCTGCCGGCCGCCATCTTGGCTGACAGTTAATTTGCATAAGGATATGCTGATTAGCCAATGGGAAGGGTAGCGGTCGTATGCTAATTACCATGTTTCTCTTTTATTAGTGTAGGTATATATATATATATATATATATATATATATATATATATATATATACATACTGCATTTACATGGAAATTAAAATGCTGTTGTAAAAAATTTTATATATTTTTTGCCTGTAACTGCTTATTTCTTTAGGTTAGTTATCCAGAAGTGTGAAGTAGAGGAATGTTGAAACACTTAAGTGTCTTGAAATAAATAATAGAATATTTTCAAAAAGCCATATGATATAGAGTCCCACCACACCACAGTATGCATTATTTTCCACCTTAATTTTTTTATTTGTAACTCTTCATTTGAAATAACTGCTGACTTAAAAGTTGCAAAAATATTACAAAGAATTTCTGTATATCCTTCACCTCAGTGCCCTAACCCCCCACCCCCAATGATAACATCTTGAGTAGCCATAGTACAGATATAAAAATTAGGGGGGGAAACCACATTGGTATAATACTGTTATCTGACCTACACATTTTATTCAAATTTCACCAATTGTTTCCCTAATGTCCATTTTCTGGTCCAGGCTATAATTCAAGATCACATGTTTGCAATTACTTGCCTTGTTTTGTTTACCTCTTTTAATTGGATGTTAGTTCCTCAGGATGTGACACTGTGGAGGACTACTGGCCAGTTATTTTACAAAATGTCCCTCCATTTTGGTTTGTCTAATATTTCCTCATAACTAAATTTCAATTCTGTATTCTTGACAGAAGAGATGTGAGCTTCTTGGTGCAGCACACCTACAAACACATGTCAGTTTGCCCCATTACTGATGATCTTAACGCTGATCATTTGGTTAATGTGGCTTCTGCCTGTTTTCTCCACTGATGGGTAAATTCGTCTTCACAGTAGAATTCCAATTACTACCTGTAGCAAGAAAGATAGAAATAGAAAATCACCATTTGGTAGACACCACAGGTGGTGGTGTCTGCCAGGTTTCTTCCCCAGTGGAGAAATCTGACCTTTTGGTAGAATTACAATGATTAAATATAGAAAGAATGATGAACATAGAAAATCCCCATTTGGCAAACACCACAGTATATGTTGTTTCAAGGAAAAATCATCACTGGATGTTGAAAGTAGTACCCAAAATATGATGAGAAACAAGGTATCTACATAATCTCAAATTATCTCTGTGTGGTACTTATTAATTACAAGGGGGGGAAATAGTAACTTTACAGTGGGAAAGCATAGCAAACCACAACACTTTTTAATAAGCATCCTCAGGGGGAAAATGCCATTAACATGAGAGAAAACATTGTTAAATTTGAACAATATGTTTAACATATGCTGTTTACATGCTTTTTCTTAAAGAAACCGCCCCTTCACATTTTTTGCAAGCTTTTCTCCCAAATGTATAATTGTGTCATCTTTTGATTTACACCTGCTTTTATGCATGAAGGACATTAACTTATTGTTTGCCATATTAATTGTAGTCCCTGTTAGGTTGTTGTTTGCCTTTTAATTGTCTAAGCTGATTAGTGAAATGGAGAAGCTTTTTATGCAGTTGACTGTATTGATTGTTTCCAGTACATTCTCTTCCAGCACTTTTGTTGTTAACAGAAATATTCCCCCTGCATTTTCCACTCTACATAATGATAGACTGATTTGTTTTTGTTTTTCTCAAAGGATAAAACCTTGTTTCAAAAAAATGTAATATGTAATTCTTCTGTTTTTCATAACTTAATAATGCTGTTCTTATTATTTATTGTTTTTGCAATATGTCAGTATGTTTGTAATCCATCTATTTAACCTGTTGATATATTCATCATAGCCAAAGGGATTTCTTTACCAAGGCTTTATGTCTGGACAAAAGTGCCCCTTATTACTCTTCCTTCTCAAATATTTACTCTTTAATTGCATATAGTTGATCTTCCTGATAAACGTCAGAATCACTTTGCCAATAACCTCCACCCCATAAAATTTCCCATGGGGATTTTGATTGGAATTGTTCTAAGCATACACTATCAGCTCATTTTGAGAGACGAATATTTTGTTTTCTAAATTTTTACCTCTTATTTATTTAAGTTGTTTTATGTCCCTTTGTGAAAAAAATGGTCATTTCTGTGATATTAAATTTGTAACAACTGTTATGATCATATAAATCATTTATATGAATAAATATATATGAATCACAAATAAAAAATTCATTCCTTTTTTCCCCATTAATTGATTGGATTAAACTGCACATATGTTAAAAATGTTTAGCTTGTGAAATGTTTAGTATAACTTTCTCTAAAATCATACTAATTATTTGTTGGTAGTTTAGGAATTGCTGCTATAGTCTTTTTGACACTACTATTACCAGATAAGTGATATATCATGATTTGACATAGAAGACTTCATAAAAATCTTCCAAAGACAGCTCTATTGAGTTGATGTCATTAGATAACGTGTAGCCTGATGAAGTAGAGAATTTGTATCATCCATCTTATTGGTCCTTCTGTCAAATACTCTCAAATTTTTTTTTGCACAATTACATTCAAAGTATTTTCTAGCCTCAGCTATATAGTCTGAGGTTTATATATATTAATATCTTTGTTATCAAAGTCACAAATATCATTCATCAGCATGCCCTAGCCATTTGTTGACTTAATTTTATTAATTAAATCACTTTCAATCCAAGGAGACTTGCAGGAATAAATCACCCTTAATAACCAAAGACATGTCTCTATTGTTAAGCCAAAGAGAGTAACATCTTTTTCCTAATGAGTTTTATTAAAATCAAATTTCAAAAACAATTATTTTCTAATGTTTAATTGTTTCCACATTCAATTACTATTAAAGCGAATGCACAAAATTTGACATATTTTGCAAACTGTTTTTGCAACTCTAGTATCATATTATGACTGACATCTAAATATTCTTCCAGTTTTATTTTTTTAAATATATTTTTGTTGATTTCAGAGAGAAGGGGAGAGGGACAGAGAGATACAAACATCGATGATGAGAGAGAATCTTTGATCAGCTACCTCCTGCACGCCCCACACTGAGGATGGAGACCACATCCTGGGCATGTGCCCTTGACCGGAATCGAACCCGGGACCCTTCAGTCCATAAGCTGACGCTCTATCCACGGAGCCAAACCAGCTAGGGCTCTTCCAGTTTACTTTATTTGAATCCCTATCTCTTCAGATATGTTACTTTTTAAAAATATATATTTTTTATTTATTTCAGAGAGGAAGAGAGAGGGAGAGCAAGATAAAAACATCAATGATGAGAGAGAAGCATTGATCGGCTGCCTCCTGCACACCCACACTGGGGATCAAGCCGCAACCGGCCATGTGCACTGACCAGGAATTGAACCGTGACCTCCTGATTCATAGGAATGTCAAGGCTCAACCATTGAGCCACACTGACTGGGCTGTTACTTTTATTTGTTTACCTATTTGGCACACAGTACAAATAAGAGGTTTTTCTTGACTAGTGATACAGTGACTTAATTTATATTGTTATCATATACCCAGACATAGTTATCATGACTTTGTTGTTGCCAAATTTTAATGTGTACAAAGGTTTCTAAATTTTGGCTAAAACTTCTAATTTTCTCCCTAGATTTATCTTGATAGCATCTGTACAAAACTTATTACAATTTTATTGTAAATATATCTCTTTAAAATATTTTCCCATGTACCAAGAATAAGGTTTGATATTTTGTTTCCAGATGCCATTCCTGGAAGCTTCCCAGGACCACCAGAAAACATTACTAGGTTTAAATACATTGAGTTGCACATAAAACTATTATAACAGTTTTTTTGTGAAACGCATGTCATCAATAATGATTGAAATTTTACTGCCCTGGTTTTTATGTTTTTCAAAGAAGTTACTATCTTATTTGAATAGGTCAAGGTTTTGTGGTAACTGGGCTCATAACTAATTTTCAGTGAAGTACTCCTGTTGATATTAATCATTTTTAAAGCTCTATTTAATGTTTAGTGTCTAAAATGATAATGTATACTGCTAAATAGTGCTTAAAATTCTGGTGGTTCATTCTAAATATTTTCATTGGCTTTATCAACCCTCTAAACATTTTTTTTCAGGTTTTATTTTCAAACAATATCGTATTAAAATTATTCATGATATCTTAACTTCCCTTACTTAAATATCTTGCTTTACTGGAAACTTTTTGGTAGCAAACAAGGTTGTAGAATAGTAGTGCTGAGAGAAAGGAAGGCAAAGAGTCCTCTCCACTCCCAGGTTTAGTTCACATTTTTATCCAGAGATGTATTACCTTTGGATTAACAGGCACCCTCTGTGTTTTCAGAAGTACTGCAACCTCACATCTCCTGTGTGTGCGTGAGGGGCGGGAGCACCTGTGTGTGTGCTGGCTGCTATTTGGATTTATTTCTGTTAAATAAATCCCATTAAAAACATTAAATAATCCATTAGTTATCAAACTATGATACAATTTCTAGCAAGAGCCTCAACCTTCTGAACTTGGCCCTGCTCTGTCCAACATGCATTTTCTATAAGTAGTTTATTGAGATATAATTCACATGCCATAAAATGCACTCTTTTTAAGTGTATAATTTGTGGTTCTTAGTATAGTCACGGAGTTGTGTAAGCATCACAGCTATCTAATTTTCAGCACTATAAAAAGAAACCCCTTACCCATTAGCACCGTGTCCTCAGCCCCACCTCTCTCAGTGCCTGGAAACCACTATGAGGTCTTCTGTGACTGGCTCCTTTCACTTAGCACAGTGTTTTCAAGATCCATCCATGCTGTGACATATATTGGTACTTCATCTCTTTTTATCACCGAATACCCTCCTGTGTTTTCATAAATGTTTCAGCAGGGAGGTGGTTCAGGAGACAGCAGGTCCGTTATCACTGACTAGCCTCCAGATTGATCTCTGATTTGTCTCTGATCACCATTGGCAACAATAACTCAGATAATAAGCCTCTGTAACACATTGTTTTCCTTTTTGCCCTGCTAACCACAAAACACAAGTTTCAATTCAATGCCTTCATCTAGTCCATTAAAATCGATATAAGTGGAAAAGAAAAGCTGTAATGTAAATAATAGCTAACATTTACTGAGTGGTTATTATGCACCTCACACTGTGCTTTATATACAGCGTTCATGTGAATGAAATTTTAATAATATATATATGAAGTAGGAACTGTTATTACCTTGATTCCACAGCGGAGGACAATGAGGCTTAGCGACATTAAGTACCTGGCCCAAAGTCAGCTGGTAATTAATGGAGCTGGGAGCCAAACCTACATAGCACAGACTCTCTGCCGAATAATGGACAGTGGAGAGGAAGGAAGAAAGGGCCAGAGAAAAACAATAGAAGGAGAAATCTAGTTTCACAGTTCACTGTATTCCTCTTCAGTGAATTTTTCATGGCTTTCTACATGTTCTTGCATTATATCACAGGAAGTTTCTTCACCTCCTCAAATACACAGATACCTCTTCTAGAAAAAGGGTTACTTGTTCTTCTCCACCTCTGCACAGGCCCTGGGATGACACTCATCCAAGTGCAGATAAATGACGATGCTGACAAATACCCCAGGTAAACTGTTCCGAGTGGGCATGTGCGGGCCCCAGGGTGTTCTTCTGGAAATGAGAGCCACACCGGGATGAAATGCTCAGGCATTTAAAACAATATTCTGGAATTTATGAGTCGGTGCTTAAAAATAATGGCCCCAAAATGCCTCAAAATATGCGTGCACCCAACAGCATCTGCCCTCTGAATTTACTGTGGAGTAATAAAAATGTGTAGAAAAGGGTTTGATGCTGAATAGTCTTATTAAGCCTAAGAGCCATGCAAACAGCGACGACCTAGCATTGAGCCAAATAATGTGCCCCCAGCTGTAATTCTGTCAAGGAGTGGCACATAAACACCCCTGAAGGAATTAGA